CCGTCCTCTCCATGCATGCCACGTGTCTCCGTACCTTAGGCTTTTACAGCTCCTCTGCTCTTGCTTCTGGTTTTCTCCTTGCTTCTTGTTGTAGAATTTCCAGTCAGTTGACTTTCCTGTAGTTCTGGGTAATGTCCATTTTATATTTTAGTTGTATTTTATTGAAATTGTTGTGTGCGGCTGCGGCTAGGTGTTTACCTGTGCAGCCATCTTGGATTCATCCTAACATTTTCTTTTTAGTAGATGTGCTCTGATAAATTATTTGCCTTTGGTTCTATATTTGCAAACCTTTTTCTTATGTGACACTTGCCCTATTAAAATATGCTTAAATCTCTGTTTCACAATTTAAGGCAAGTCTGGTGCCCTCCTCAGTGTTACTGTCAAGTTCGAGGGAAAGAAAGCCTGAGCATCTCACTGAAACCACTACTCACCACTCTCTCATCCTGGGTGGGTCACTTCATTTTCTGAGCCACTAATGAACAATAGGTTGTGAATGACTTGAGACAGTTCATGTCATTTATCTGTTACCTACTGTTGCTTTGGTGGAAACTGGAAATGGTGATGGTGGCTTCACTGGGGGAATAATAATTTTTTAAAAGATATTGAAAAGTAGCCATTTCTGTTCCTACAAGTTCTTGGAGCCCCCACTCTACCCTACACAGCACCATTACCTTGCTGTTTCGCTCTTTTCCTTACTCTTCTTATTCCTCCTCATCATCTCTATCCCTTCCTTTCTGGATTGTCTGATGAACTCCAAATGTTCTGCTTTGAAGAGCAATTCCATTTCTTAAATGCTTTCACAAGCTCAGTTTTTGGTTTATCTTTGCAAAACCAAATCCCATTAAGATACTTAACTCACAGGGGGAAAAAATTAAGCATAGGATTAAGCTTCATAAAACATAGTTGTAGGAGAAAAACAGCAATTTGGACTCTGCATGAATGAAAGTGTCAAGTGAATATTGTCAATATGCCATATTGACTTTCTGTAGAGAATGGAATAAAGTTCATACCCAGCCCTTTAAACCTTGACCCCAGGCATGATTTCAGACTTTTCTTCAGTCAATTTATTCAACAAATATTCACATGGCGAGCAGAACCCATTGCTGACCTCACTGAGATTTGTCTGGGAGTGATTTCTTGTCCCCTGAATTCTGTAGCCCCAAACCACTCATTGCTCTCCACGTATGCTTTATGCTTCCCTCTCTCTTGTCCTCTACCAAGAATGTTTTCTCCTTCCCTGTTGTCACCTTGTTCAATTCTTCGAAAGGACAGACCTAAATTTGCTTTTTTAAAAGAGTTGCCCAGGTTCCCCCAACTAATTCATTTATACTGAAGAAGCCCTTGGTACTTCTGTCCTAATTCATGGCACAGAGGAAAGTCCATGAACACTGAAGCTAAAAAGCTTTGGGTTCAAAGTCTCTCTCTGCCACTGGAGCAAATCACATAGTTCTTCAAAACTTGTTCCTCCATCTGTAAAATACTGTCTCATGTGGTTGTTATATAGATTAAATAATATATAGAGAAAAAATAAAATGGTGCAAAAGATTGTCTGGATTTCACATTATTAGTTCATAGAATTGGCTGGTTACATAGATACACACACTAAATAAATAAATAAATAAATAAATAAGTAAATAAATAAATATCACTGTTCATCTTTGGACAGTAAGGGGAAAGCAGCTCATCTCATTTACTGTAGCTAAAAAATTTACTGTGAGAAGCTGAGTCTGCTCTAATAGACTGACATTGGCATGCACATCCTATAGTGCTTCTTAGAAGGTTTGTATCATGTGGGAAGTTAATAGCTGAATATAAAATCCTACCCAAAGAACAAAGTAAATACATAATTTATATAAGCTTGATTAAAAAATATATACTATGTACATATATAATCAAGCTTATTAAATATCCTACCAAAAAAAGGAATACCAAAGTGATAGGAGTAAAATAATATATTTTATAGCAGAGTTGATGCTGGTCATATTTTATTCAGACCTGATGTAGCCTGGAGTCTGGACAGAACACAGGAGCCAAGGAGAAAGCCCTGAGTAAGAGGACATGATGGTTGCAATTTTTAGAATTTGGTTAAAGAAAAGAAGAAGACTCTTGGAAATGGACCTTTAATGATTATATTGAAATTACAGTCCTGGTTGCCTTGTCTCCACTATCACACTTCTAGAAACAGTCCCCGTGAATCAGCCTCCAATCTAAGGTAAATTCCACCTCAACCCTGCAAAGGAGGCACTATGATTGTGAATGTTTATGTGTATAAAACATGTGAGCAGCTAGGAATAAAATGTAGTGAATTTAGAATTTTGTGTCTATAATGATTTATTTGAAGTCTTTTATTTAAATCTAGTTTAGGGAGGAAAAATACCATTAATACTTTAATTAAAAGCATTCAGGACTAAGAAATTTACTGAACTTGCCCTCAAATCTTCTTACCTATAATTCAGTTATATTGAAAATAATGTAAGAAAAGTTATTTGGATTTATTGTTTTAGGGATATTTATGTCCTCTAGAGAAAAGAATCCAGTATTGTGATACTGTATTAGGCATTTTTCTGATGTTGAGGGAATAAATTCCTTACTGTGTAGCACTGAGGCAGGGTTTAGCCAGGTAGCTAAATTCTCTTTGTGGATTATGAACAGGATGAAATAAGCTTTAGGTTATGGAATTTTGAACAAAGAAGAGAACTAAGGCAGTGTTTAGGCCAAAGATGGATCTAGGAACCAGAGTAAATGACAAATGTTAACGCATGCTACAGGAGCAATCTTGCTTATGGGAAAAGAAGGAGCTTCTAAGGGCATTAGTCTGATTGGTTTTACCAGAAACAATTAACCTGGTTTTTAATACAACCTATACAATATCTTTCTCTTTTGGAGAAAGCAGTTTAGTAGGAGATCAATCACAGTATTTAATCACTGACATCTGCAAAGGTGAAGAAGAATTTAGAGATAATGATCAGCATTTGCTTCTTGAATGTTTTGGATGCATTTCTCATTGTGCACATACATACAACTGGCTTCCTAAATGATCTGCAAATCTCTCAAAGTGAAAGGCCAAAGTACTAAGTACTTTGAGAAAAGAACTTAGTACTTTGGCCTTTCACTTTGAGAGATTTGCAAATCATTTAGGAAGCCAGTTGTACACAATGCCTTTCACTTTGAGAGATTTGCAGATCAGTTAGGAAGCCAGTTGAACACAATGCGTTTTACTGTGTCTTACAAAACAGTCCTATAAGTAATTCAGAATACTGCAACAATGCTCTAGTTTGACATTTAGATAAAAGGTAATCCTATTTTTAAGAATTTTAACAGATATTCTGCAATGAAATTAATTTGCTTATGTGTTGGAAAGTGTGCCTTGACTTTGGAGTAGATAGACCATGGTATTCTCATATTTATCATGAATGTCAGTTCAATCTTTATAAAATCATTTTAAATGGACAAAGAGGAGAATATTATTTACCCTGAAGGATTATTGTGACTATTCAATAAGTGAATTCTGATTAACATTTATTAAACACCTATTAAGTGCTAGGTTCATTTGCCAGACACTAGGAATCAACTGGAGGGAACATTTTGTAAGGTAGTTCACAGTCCATAGCATAGACATTTAGGACCTCACATGGCCTAAAGTATTTGAGGTCTCAGAAGGAATGAAGAGATCATCTTGATCAATACCTTCACTTCTCAGGTGAGTAAACCAAGTCAAAGGAGGTTAAATCAATTGAACAAAATCACAACCAGGTGAGTCCACTGGTCGTCCAGTCTAATTATAGAGGATATTAATGATTGCAAATTCTAATTATTATTATATTAATGATTGCAATTTTAAAAAAATCTTGGCAAATATATTTTTCATTATAACGTATTCAGGTGATTGAGATTTCTGGAGGGAATTATAAATTTGGATGGGTTGGTAGAATAAATCTATATTAATAATATTTCTGTTTCTTCTCAAAGCATATGGCAGAATTATACTTCTCCATCTCCTTAAAGTCAACCATGGCTTTAAGCCCGTGGTTGGTAAACTACGGCTTGTGAGCCACATGCAGCTCTTTGGCCCCTTGTGTGTGGCTCTCACCTGGGCGAGTCTATTTTGAAGAAGTGGTGTTAGAAGAAGTTTAAGTTTAAAAAATTTGGCTCTCAAAAGAAATTTCAACCATTGTACTGTTGATATTTGGCTCTGTTGACTAATGAGTTTGCCAACCACTGCTTTAAGCAATGGTATTTGCATAGAGATGCCCTGTTAGTTCCAGGTGGAAGCACTTTGAAGCCAGTGTACAATTTGCTCTATATCCTTCTCCTGCCATGGTGACTTGCAGAGTACCAGATGGTGGGCTTTCCATCAGCCTGAGCCTTTGTGTAAAGATGATGCAGAGCGCTGTCCACAGCAAGTCAACAAAAATGTGACATGAGCATATTTTTGTTTTATACCAATGCAATCTGGGAGTTATTATTACAGCATAATCCTAAGCAATCCCATCTGCCATTTGGCTTTAATTTTACTTTGGCATTCTATCCATCTCACATTGAAATGATTACTGATTAAAGGATGATATAACTTTAACATTTGCCATTCCATTAGTCACCAGAAGTCAAGTGATTGTATCTTCACTCTGAATTCCATATACTTTCCAAAAATAAGAGTTCAGTGGAAGATGATAATCTCAGATAGAAGAGGATCATTTTAAAATCAAAGTGATAAAAATAACTGCTCTCTCCTTAAATCTGAAAACAAAACAAATTTGTTTTATATAGAGATTTTTGTTCTTTTTTTGAGAAGTCTGTCTGGAAAAAAATCTATTATAGGCTGTTATAGTAATTCCTATCAAAATAAAAAAATGGAATGCTTATCTCTGGCACATAAGAGATGTTAAATAAATACTTATTCAGAAAGAGAATGAGAAAAGTGGAAGAGAAAGAAGAAGAGATAGGGAGAAGAAGAAGAAGGACGATGAGAAGGGGGTGAAGAAAATCATTACACACACATACACACACACTTTCTTTTGGAATAATTAATTAGCATGAAGAGGGGTATATCCAGGTTGGCTTTACCTTAATCAACAAAGAAGAGATGCTTCCATTGGGCCTATAAAGTCATAAGGCCCAGGAAGCAGGACAACTTGCCCTGAACCCTGAACCTAATATAGAGTCTTTTCTTGTTCTGGACACAACTCAAAACTGTTTGCCTTATGTGTTACCTTGTTCAAAGGGTTAGAGAAGCATGCTCAGATACGGTATAGGCTGCCTCCAAAATCCAAAGGCCTTTTCTTTGTGATGGCAGATGTTAGGAACAATAACTTGTTGTAACTTTTAGAAAGGGGTATCTTAACATGCCTGAGAGTGCTGGATCCACAGAAACTCACTGGTGTGCAGACCTCTGAATTTTCTCAAAATTTGTCTTCCACCCTTTGGCATACATATGTCTTTCTAAGGCATGTCGGGTGCTTGCTTCTTCCTGCTCGCCAGGTACAATTAGCATAATGCTATCAATGTAATGGACCAGCGTGATAATCTGTGAGATACTGAGATAAAGTATTTCCTGGTGTATTCTAGTTCGACTGGAAACAGGAGAGTGGTGTAGCCCTGAAATATGAAAATGATGGTATACTGGGGATCACTTTGGAAAGTGTATGATTGTCTAACCACTATGCTGAGCAACCTGATACTACTACAAAATATTAAATGAAAACTGTAATTGAAAAACATTAAAAAGTAAACAAATAAATACATAGTCAGAATTTAAAAGATAAAGAAGATAGAAAATAATAGCATACTGCTGTGCTTCCTTTCCTGTAAAGGTAAACTGCTTTTGATTACCTTTGCTAACAGTAACTGAATAAAAGCTTTTTCTAAGTCAGTATCTGCATATCAGATGCCAGGCTGCAAATGATATAATCACCTAATTAAGCAAAAATCCACATTCATCCTCCAAGACCTCAGTGGTTTTTGTCATCAACTAGAAAAGTTAAACTGGACAGTGAAGTCATCAGTAGGTTTTTTTACGCAGGGAGAGTGTGGTATCCTCAGAACAGGGGGTGGCAATGCTCCTGCTGGCAAGGAGGGCTCAGCCAAGTACTCAGCACCACCTCTGCTGCTGAAATGTCCTTACCACATATCTTAGCTTCCCACTCCCTTCTTGTCCATGTCTTCGCTTAGCACGGAAGACCCAATGGTGATGTAACTGACACCGCAACTTTGCAGTGAGGCTCTGTGTTTAGCTCTCAGTCACATCCACCCTGAGCCTATAGGCTCTAAGGGATTCTTTTTAAAAATGTGATAGATATTTTCAGATTATCCACCCATGCCCTGAATTGGGCATTCAGTGTTTAATAGTTGCCATTTTTTCTGTGTGTGCTCTCCAGGATTAGGAAACGTGGCCATCCCAAATCACACAGTTTTTGCACCACCATCATTGCCATCTCCGTGGCCACTTGATCTTCCAGTGCTTTGCCTTTAGTCTTTCCATCCCATGCCTTGAGTAATCTGTGCCCCAATAGTCTCCCCAGCAAAAAGGTTAGCCATTTGTTTTGTTTCTTGCTGCCATCTCCCTCCTTCTTTAATTCAGCCCAGGGCCTGGCAAGAAAGGGGTAAGACCCTCAAAAGGGGTATTAGAGCAAGCTCAATGAAATTGCTTTTTACAAAGGTGTGATATGATATAGGGAAACTACAAGAGATGGTGGGGTACCAGAAGGCTAGCAACAGCAGGAAGTCATTAGCATCTCTAAACTCGGAAGGGCCAGGAGAGGGCTTGCTGGAACCCCTGAGAGCTTTAGTGTGAGTTGTAGCCCACAGAGAGAGGGCTTTCCAGAAGGAACCCTGACCTTTGGTATAAAAACACACAGCCTGTCTCCAGCAGGGAGGCAATCAGGGGAATAAATCCATCAGCCTTTCTCTGTCCTCCATTTTCCAGTCTCCTGCCAGTGCTTCCCACTGGCCAAGCCCAGCTGGCAACCTACTTAATGCTGCTGATAAAGTCAAGATCTCAGGGCACGGAGCAAAGTGTGAAAAGCTGGCAAGTGGATCTGACTCTGTCCTCCAGTCAAACCGCCACTACCGCCCTTTCCCCGTTTGCATCCACTACAATTCTTTCTTTTTTCTTCAAATGAAAAACAAATTTTCCTAAAATATGGAACACACACACACACACACACACACACACACACACAAATTTCCATTAGCATCCTTGAGTGATATCAATCCCATCATAGTTTTACCTCAAACCTAAAACATAAACTACCACTAGTGTTCTTCATATAAGACTGTAGATCTATCAAAAAGAAGAGAAATAATACGTTAACCTAAACAGTGCTGCTATTTGTTTAAAATGGAGAGTACCTAGCACGATAGTATATTGCTCTGGCTCCTTAGCATCCATGTGACTCATACTTGCTGTGCTCTGACTGTGAGGCAAAGGGAGCTCCCAGGAGGAAAATGGTTATCAGGTGGAGATGAGGCCAAGAAAGAATTATACATAGGACCCCAGGGGCAGAGGCCAAACCCGGAGACTGAGCTGGCTTGTCTTCAAGGTCGAGATCCAGTTTCAGAGACATCAGTCCTGGTCAGCATGACCTCCCCCATTTTTTAGAGGAAAGTAGGATCCAGACCCGGAGAAGGGACCTGGCAAAAAGTAGCGTGAGGGGGAGGTTAGAACTCCAACCTGTTAGGCTGGTGTGCAGGGCTGGGTGCTAATTCTAGATTGTAACACTATAGAAGTTTGAGTAGACTAGCCTCTGCCAGCACTGATTAGACAGGGTGCCACTGCTCGTGTGGCACCCTATTTAATAAACAAATATTGAGTATTTTTATGTGGCAAGTATTGTCCTGAACACTGGAGACACATGTTTAAAAAAAAAAAGAAAAGAAAAATAAATCATTGTCTTTGTGGGCCTTAGGTAGAGGTGAGAAAGGCACAGTTCAGATACATTCATTCACATGCTGAGTTAATCATTACAATAAAGCACGCAGTGGAGAACTGTGGGTGCTATCTTAACCCACAACAGGGCCCCTACCTAACAGAGAGTCACGGAAGACTTCTCAGGAGACACATTTATCTCAGGATCACGAGCTGGTAGACATGAGAACAACAAACCACTTCTGTAGTGGTGGAAAAGCTCCCAGTCATTAAAAGCTCCCAGTCATTATCCTGTGCTCCGCTGAGCTCCAGCCTGCACAGGAGAGAGCCAGGCAGAGCTGGTGCTGGAAGAGGGTAGAGGAAACAGAACAGCTGCTGTAGGTGTGTGTGGTTGTCTTTGGTGGTTCTATCGGGTCTAGTAATAATTAATGTCGTTTTTCAACATTCGTTTAAAATCTTGCTTGGCGTTGACTTGTATTGACATAACCTTCAAACACGTGGTATCTACAGAATGTGTGAAGTGCAATTAACAAGTTTTGCTTGAAAAAGTTTGTGTTTGGTTTGGTTTTTGTTGCAAAACTAGGGCTAAGAAGATGGCGGATGAAGAGCATATTCTGCACTGCATGCTTTACGAGTTCCAATTAGGAAGAAAAGCAAGTGAGGCTGCAAAAAACATCTGTAGTGCTCTTGGTCAAGATGCAGTTAGCGCCAGAAAATGCCAGCATTGGTTTGAGAAATTTCCCGAAGGAAATTTTTCGTTAGATGACAAGAGTGGTCGAGGCCGTGTGTCCAATTTTGATCAAGAAGCTCTTCAAGCTCTTTTGGTGCAAAATCCTCAAATTACCCAACAAGAGCTTGCGACAACTTTAAATTGTTCACAGAAAACAACTTCCAATCAATTGCGTGCACTTGGCAAAGTCCAAAAGTTTGGAAAATGGGTTCCTCATGAGTTGACTGACAACAACCGTAATCAAAGAGTCACAATTTGCAGTTCGCTCCTCTCTCGTCAAAACCGTTTGCCGTTTTTAGAGCAAATTGTTACTGGAGATGAAGAATGGGTGCTGTATGTTAATTTGAAAAGGCGGCCTCAATGGTTGGACAAAAATGAGGCTCTGCAGCCCACGCCAAAACCTGACTTGCATGCGAAAAAAGTGATGTTGTGTGTTTGGTGGAATTTTAAAGGAATTCTTCATTATGAACTTTTACCATCTACCCAAACCATTACAAGTGCAGTGTATAGTGCCCAATTGGAAAGGTTAGCCCAAGCTTTAAGAGAAAAAGAACCCGCGCTGATTAGTCGGAAGGGCGTAATTCTTCACCATGATAACGCACGACCGCATACTGCAAGAATCACTGCTGAAAAACTGCGCCAGTTGGAATGGGAAGTTCTCCCTCAACCTGCATATTCTCCTGATATTGCCCCTTCCGATTACCATTTGTTTCGTTCTTTGCAAAACTTTCTTCTTGGAAAAAAATTTAATAATGAAGAATGCCTCAAAAATGCACTGACCGAATTTTTTGCATCAAAATCACAAGAATTTTACAACAGAGGGATTAAAATGCTTCCTGAGCGTTGGGCACAAGTAGTAGAAAACAATGGCAACTATATTGTTGATTAAATTTTGTTGTATTGTTTAAATAAATTCGATTTTTAAAAGTATCATATTAGAAAACGACATTAATTATTACTAGACCTAATAACTCCACTTGCTCTGTGAGTCTGTCTTCCTCCCTCCCTCCCTCCATCACACACACACACACACACACACACACACACACACACCACATGCCTGCGGGCAGAGAAGAGGAGCAGGGGAGAGAGAAAGAACATTTTGTCTTTGTCTCCAGGTTATTTCCTTGTTTGCTCCAATGTTGTTTTTTTAAACCAGGAAACCAATCCCAGCAGCTGTTTAAAAGTGAATTCAGTACTTGAGGCAAATGCTAAAACTCTCTCTCATTATTCCTGCCTGTCCTTTCTTTTTCTTCTTGGTTCCTTGTGTCTGCTCAACTTCAGACTCTTTCTTGTGTTGTGGTTATAAGCTCAAACTCTGAGGTCATACAGATCCAGGTTCCAGTTCTGGCTTCCCCAGTTACCAGCTGTGGGACTTGGGGCTAGTTTCTTAATGTACCTTAGCATCAGTTTTCCCAGTAATAAAAGGAGACTAATAGTAGTAGCTACCTCTCAGGGCTAGTGTGAGAATAAAGTGAGATATGCTACTACACATGGAAGCTTTAGTTATTATATTGTTTTTCCATTTTCACTCCAGGGACCTGGCGGCAACACCTCACTACTGACCCTGAATGCTCATCCTCTATGAGGACGCAGACTGCAGTTCCTCTCGGGTGCTTCTCCCTCTGGGTGGCTTCACTCTAACACCCCATTCAACCTCATTCTCTTTGTCACCGGAAGGGGGTTAGCCAGGCCGGCAACGCCACCGGGAGTGTCAGGCAGCTCCTTTTTGGACCCTTCCTGTCTCTTTTTCATTCCATAACTTTCTACTGTGGATAGACTTTTTCATATTTATGAAACAATTTTAAGTAAACTCTTCTTAATTTAAAAATCACATGAATATAATGTCACATATTTCTATTTCTGAAGAAAAACAAAAACAAAAACCCCACAACACTTCAAAACTAACAAAGTGGCATTAAGTTGCTTTGTACTAAGGCTAATGATTTTTTTTTTTTTTATGGTCTATGGGCCTGAGTGTGAACAAAGTGCTCCCCAACCTTGATAAGATGATTTCTTGAGGTTACTTTAGAGATATAAAAAGCAAGCTAATGACAAAATAATAAGTCTAGTCTACATGATGTGCAAGCTATGTGCCCAGGCTTTGCTGATAGGTGTGAGATGCTGTTGGTCAGTATTTCAAGAAAAAAGACAGGTGTTGTCCATATTTCTTTTGATTTAAATCTTTTTAGGATTTATTTATTTATGCTAGTTTCTTAAGTAATTTCTGAATTCAACAATAAGGCTAATGCTTAGACATGCATCTTTTTTTGTGTGTGTGATACTGAATGCATTTAAAAATATATATATCTTATTGATTTTTTTACAGAGAGGAAGGGAGAGGGATAGAGAGTTAGTAACATTGACCAGCTGCCTCCTGCACACTCCCTACTGGAGATGTGCCCACAACTAAGGTACATGCCCTTGACTGGAATCAAACCTGAGGCCCTTGAGTCCGAAGACCAATGCTCTATTCACTGAGCCAAACCAGTTAGGGCCTGAATGCATTTTATTATAACATTTTCCTAAACTATTTATTTTGAAACAATCAAGGTTTAGATATAAGTTACAAAGATATTATAGAACTCTTACATATTTTATACTCAGCTTCCTCTGTTATTACATTATCTATTACACTTATCAAACCTAAAAAAAATTGACATTGCTACAGCATTATTAACTAAACTACAGACTTTAGTTGAATTTCACCCATTTCTCACTTAAGGATTTAGTAAGATATCACATTGCATTCAGTCATCAGATTTTCTTAGTCTCCTCCAATCTGTGTCGCATTGAGTTTTCCCTTGTTTTTCATTAATTGACACTTTTGAAGAGCACTGTCGGATATTTCATAGAATGTACTTCAGTTTGGGACCAGAACTTGTATGATGTTTTCTCATGTTTAGACTGGGAGTATGGATTTTTTGTTTTTTAGAAAACCATAGAGATGAAATGCCCTTCTCATTGTATCATATCAGGGAAACACGAGGCAAGCATGTACTAGTCAGCTTATTACTGGAGGTGGTGACTTCAATTGCTTGGTTAAGGTGCTGTCTGCCAGCTTTCTCAACTGTAAAAATAGTATTTTTACTCTTTTTATACTCTATTCATTAGAAACAGTTATTAAGTCCAGTTAATAACACTCAAGGGCTGGGAAAATAAATTACATCTCCTGGAGGGAGGAATATCAAAGAATTTGTGGACATTTTTTAAAAACCACAAAAGCATTTAACAAATATTTTGGGAGAGATAGTTTGGGGTTATGCTTCTATTCTGTCTCTTTTTAAAGTTTCACCCACTAATCTTATTATTCAACCTTGAATCTTGTCCACAATAATTATTGCTATGGAGTTCAAGTGGTGGTTTTTCTATTGCCCTCATTCTGTCTACATTTGTTATTTGAAGTTTTGAAATTTTTCTGTAAGGAAGAGTTTTCCCTTCTCTACCATTTATTTACTCAATCATTTATTTGTATCAGTATCTACTAATAAATACTTATTTTATTCTTTGGGTTATATTTGAATGTTATTGTCATTAATTTTGTTGCTCAAATTGTTCCAAGATTAGTCAATAAGAGCTCTTTTTATTCTGTATCATCTTTCTCCTGCCTATCTAGCTCTCTGTCTATATGAATTCATGCTGATATCCTTGACTCCTCCAACTCCACACAGTTCATTCTAGCCTTCCCTCCTTGGCTTATTTGTTATCTTATTTCCTCTGACAATGAGAAACATCACTTCCGTTCTCTACAATTTATGCACTTGTTGTTCAACCCCAATGTACTCAGAAGGCAGTATCAGACTTGCTAACCTGTATTCTTGTGGGAAACAATTATCAGGAAGAGTGCAGAGCTTTTGTCGGTTCTTTTTGCCTTTGGCTTACAGTTTACTGTAGAGCACTGCTTTCCCAGATTACCTAGGTCAGCTCCTCCCCACTCCCATGTAGTTTTGTTAGACATTTTTCATACAGTTAGATGCATTTGTCATAGTTAATCTGTGCTTCAACTTGGGATTCCTGACGTCCTGATTTATTTTT